CTCTCAGCTGCTGAGCCAGACCTCTAGGCCCTAATTATCTGGCTTGGAGACTGGAGAGAAAGCTCAGCTGTTTAGCGTACCAGCTCCTCTTCCAGAGGACCCAGGTTTGATTCCCAGCACACACAGGACAGTTAACAACTGTCTGTGATTCCAGTCCCAGAGGATCAGATGTCCTCTTCTGACCTCTGTGGGCATTATGAGCACATGGTCCAGTGATGTAAATGCAGACAAAGCACCCATACACATAACAATAAAAAAAAATCAAAGAATCCAGCTTACCACATTTCCTTGTTGAACGTAATTTTGAAGATGACAGCCATGCCTGTACTGTATGCCTCAGTGATTTAAGGCATTGAGAAAAAGACTCTTGAATGTGTTCTTTTTATCCTCATTGATACTTATGTGGGGGTACTCATTCATTATCCCTACTGCAAAGCAGAAACAGAAAGCCACGTTAAAAAGTAGTCATCTACAGCACTAATGACTCAGACCTAACTTCCTGCTCTCAGAAACGAAGGATCTTTGGTAAGAGGCCTGTGAGATGGCTCAGCAGGGAAAGGTGGATGCCACCAAACCTAACAACCCAAGTATGATCCCAGGATCCATACGGTGGAAGAGAACCAACACCCACAAATTGCCCCCTGACTTTCACATGTACATGTTGGTACCTGTACCTGTGCCCTAGGGGTCTACCTGTTTGTGCCTCCCTAGTGCTGGGATTACAAGCATATGTTGTACCTGGCTTTTTAAGTAGCATCTAGGGATTAAACTCAGGTCCTCATGCTGTGTGACAAACATTTACCGACTGAGTCACCTCCCTGGCACCTGTTGCCTTTTTTGCACTTCCTGCCTTCCAAGCCTGTGAAGTAGTGTTTTCAGACTCAAGAGAATTGATATTCTTACGCTGATCGGTCTTTCTCCTAACAGTGCTATATTCTTTAACTGTCATGTGTTTCCAGTAGCCATTAGCTCAGGTACGTTTTGGGCAATGAGGGGCTTAACAAGAGCATGGGTCAGAGTTTGTGAATTGCCCTGATAAGAAGGTAACCGGAAAGAGTTGTGGCTAAATGCATGTTTTCATAAGACTCCGCTGATGTGGCTCCATCCACATTAGGGCTCTAGTCAAGGTGAGAGCGAGCCCGTCTGCATTTTTATTGCAAATTAGAAAATGATACTTAAATCAAATGTCAGGCTTCCAGATTCGGCCTCCGGCTCTGGAAGCAGAAATGGGAAGAAAAGCTCTCAAACTAACTCAAGGAGAAAATGAGGCTGTGTGCAGAGTTGGCACTGTTCCCCAGTCACCCAGCTTCCAAAAGGGACAGAGATCGCAGGCTCTTGCTGCTGCCACACAGACAGCGGGATGTTGCTCCCAACCAGTACCTTTTTGAACACTCTAATTTAAGTTGCCTTTTCCTGGCAGGCTCAGGAAGGGGTTATGAGGGACCCCAAAGATGAGGCTCTGTCTCCGTCTCCAATGGGCTAGAAGCCAATAGGGGAACTGGCATAAAAAGTGAATAAGGAGCTGAGGGATGGAGCTAGTGGGTAGAGGGCTGGCCCCACAAATACAAAGCCCTGGGTTCCATCACTAGCCTAGGAGAAGATGGGCATGGTGGTGCATGCCTGTAATCCCAGCACGAGAGAGGTGGAGGCAAGAGGGTCAAAGGTTCAAAGTCATCCTTGGCAACATCTAGTGTTCAAGGCATATTTGGGTGAAGGTACCTGGTGCCAAGCCTGACTACTAGAGTTCCATCCCTGACTCCTCCAAGTTGCCCTCTGACCTCCACATACATACTCACCCCTCCTACACAATAGTTAAATAAAAATGTTATTAAAAAGCTACAGAGTTGGTATATGGCTGGGGCTGGAGAGATGGCTCAGTGGTTAAGAGCATGTGTTGCTTTCTCAGAGGACCTGGGTTTGATTCCCATCACCCACATGGTGGCTCATGACCATTCATAACCCCAGTTCTGGGAGATCCAACAGGTATGCATATGGTGAATACACTTGTATGCATGTAACTATTTCATACACATATCTTTTTTAAAAGCTTATATATGACAAAACACAAAGAATAAATCTAGACATAAACTGGATTTTTCTTAATAATATATAACAGGCTTGGCTTACTAACTGTAACAAATATACCATACTGGTCAAAATCAGGGGAAATTAGTGTCTCTCTGAACGGGTACCTGTCAACCTTTTGTATTTTCCGTTCCACTGTCTTTTTCTGAAATTGGTAAGAAAATTCCATTCATTAAAATAAAATGCCCAGACAGGACATTTCATTTTAACAGGACAAGACGACTGGAGTACCCAAAGGCCTGTGGCCTGAGCTCCCGCAGAAATTAGAGAGCAGTTAGGGGTAGTGGAAGCCCACGGGAAGGTGCCACTGTTAGAGAAAGCAGTAAAGAGCAAACCCCTCTTACGCTACCCAGGTGTAGATTTCCTTTCCTGTACAGCACACTGGGGCTCAGAGACAAAGGCCCTTGACACTAAGGGATGGAGCAAGGATTCAGGTGTGGGTCCCATTCCTGTCAGCTTTGGACACGGGAAGCCTTGCCAGCCATTTTGGCAGCAGGCCACACCTTTTCCCTAGTCCTCTTCCCTCATGTCCACTCCAAAGCCAAGTTGGGAGTTGGACATTCACAGAAAAATGAACACAAGTAAATAATAAATACATTTAGTATATTAAAAATACCTCCCTAGATGGTTGTTAGGAAAAAAAAAAACAACCCACCAAAACATCAAAAGCCCTCATCTCTTAAGTGTTCATACAAGAGCAGACAGTGTTTAACAGATGTGTAGGACATTCCCGTAAAGTTATAAACATACCTTCCAGAGATTGCTTTAGATAAACAGATACAAGTCTTGCAGTTTTCCATGCAAGAGATGACTTGTTGTTTGGAAGCCAAATAGAGATTCCGAAATCGAGGTGTACCTGAGAAAGCTTAGGAGATCCTATCACAGAAACTGAAGCTTTGGCCAAGTCTCAGGCTCTTGCCCTGCAGTGTGTCTGTGAGAACACCTGGCTGCAGCTCCGTGTGCAGGACTTGGGTGGGCAGTGTCATCTGTGAGAACTCCCGCCTCTAGCCCCATGTGTGGGACTTGGGTAGATAGGGTAGTTGAGGAACAGTTCTTCCCACCCCTGTTGTGTTCCCTCAGCTCAAGGTCAAGGCCAGGGACAGCTTTGGACAGCTCTGCTCTGCCCATGTCTGCAGCTGACAATCATGCAGCCATCATTTGAGCATTTCTAGGTGATGAGTGACAGGCAGGTGCTGTGCGCACAGATCTGAACAGCACCGCACAGCCTGATGGGTGAAGCAGGTATACCTGCTGATACTTTACCAACTGGGATATTTGGTAAGCATCCCATGATGCTTAGTCATCTAGGCCCTGACTCTGGTACTTTCTTGTTCTTGTTAGAGGGGCAGACTGACCTCCTGTCCCTCGGTTTTGTCATCTCCGAGGAGACAGCAGCACTAGCTATACTTCAGTGGTTTATTTGGATAAACAAATCATCGTAAGTATATTCCTTTTCTCACTGCTGTGACAAAATATCTGACTATACTAGTTATTTTTCTACTATTGTGATAGAAGACTGTGCTCAAGGCAACTTTTAGAAGAAAGGGCTTATTTGGGGTTACAGTCTGGAGGACTAAGAGTCTAAGCTGGCAGAAGGGAGGAATGCAGATGGAGCAGGAAACAATGTGGCTTACATCATTAACAATAAGCATGAAGCAGAGCGAGCAACTGGAAATGGCTTTTGAGAGTTTCAAATGGAAAACTGAGAGCTTAAAACTCTCAAATCCTGCTCCAGTAATAAACATCCTCCAACCAGTCTACACCGTCTAAGCCTCGCCAACAGCTCCTCCAACTGGGGACCAAGTGTTCAGAAATGTGAATCAATGGGGGACATTTTAATTCAAACCACCACAATGACCAAAGCAATTTAAGGAAGGAAGCGTTTCTTTGGCTCACAGTTTGAGGGTACAGTCCATCATGGTTGAGAAGTTACGGCCGTGGGGATGGCTTGGAGCATCCGGTCACACTGCATCAGCATTTAGGTTGCAGAGAGACAAAAAATGATGGCACTCACCTTGTTTTCTTCTATTTTTGTTAGTGCAGGAACCCCAGCCCCTGGGATGGTGCTGCCCCATGTAGGGTGGGTCTTCCCACCTCAGTTAACCTAATCTAGAAACTTCCTTGCAAGTGCCTGAGGGCTTGCTTCCATGGGGATTCTAAACCCTATCAAGTTGACTAAAAAAGATGAACTATTCCATAAGACCTTGATTGGTTCTGAGTTCTGAGACAGCCAGACTCAAATGCCTAGAGAGGTCAGTATGGGGAAATGTAGAGTGATAGTGCCATGGACATGCTTGTGTGCCCCACCACTCGAGGAAGGTGGAGGCAGGAGGATCATGGAGGTCATTGGCCAGTCAGTCTAACTAAGTCAGTAAATACCAGGTTCAGTGAGAGACTCTGTCTCAAAAAATACAGTGGAGAGCAACTGAAGAAGACACCAGACATCAACCCCCCCCTCTCTCTCACACACACACACACACACTCATACACATGCCCACACACATGTACACACGCTAACACTCTCTCCACATATACAATTCTTCCCACAGGTGTCTTATCTCAAAGATCAAAATTAGGTGTCCATTGTCCAGAGAATGTGCCCCCACCTCTCCCACCATCCCTTTCAGCATCTGATCCTGCAAACCCCACCACCACAGGGACAGCATCAGATCTGAGATCATGTAGGAAGCAGGGTCAGCAGTCAGTGCATGCACACACTTCAGCTCCATCATTACCTTGCTTGTTGACCATTGACAGGTCAGTTACTGTCTTCTGCCTCTGTTTCCTTCACTATGGACAATTGCATAGAATAATTGAGAATTCAATAAGATAGTATAAAGAAGCATCATGATGCCTGACCAGAGTGTTCAGTTAATCAATCATGTTTTTTTCTTTTTCTTCTCATTACTCTCCAGCTAGGGAGACAGAATATTAGCTATGGAGTGATCACTAAGAGTCATCTAACCATCTTGCTTCATAGAGAAGAAAAATGGAGGATCAGAATGGAAAGTGAGTATTGAGGATCATAAAGGTTGGGATCAGCTGGGATCCACCAGCTGCTGTCCAGTGGGGCCCTGCTTCCCCCATGTTCCTCCCCAGTGCTGAGCACAGAGCTGTTTGTGAAATGAATAAATGGACTCACACTCAAAGAGGAGTCGGCATCTCCCGACATTTCTTCTTTGTTTCCATCCTACTGCATCCTTACATCATTTAAAAACACACAGAGGACTGGCAAGATGGCTCAGTGGGTGAAGGGGGCTGCCACCAAGCCTGATGACCTGAGTTCAGTCCCTGGGATCCGCACAGTGGAAGAAGAGAACTGGCCTCCACGAGTAGTCCTTTACCCCCACATGCACACTGTGATTCAGACATGTGCGCGTGCACGCGCGCGCACACACACACACACACACACACACACACACACACACACACAAAAGGAATAAATAAAAATGTAGTAATATTTAAGACTAAAGCCATACAAGGACAAAGGAGGTGATGTATATGGGAATCAGAGATTTGTGCTTAGAGATGGTGAAGAATTCAGTGTTGGAATGGACTGCTACAGCTCTCTGGCCATCCTTTCTTCCCCAAGCCCTTTGCTCTTTCCTTCCTCCTTTCTTCCCCCATCTGCTTTCCTCTCCTTTCATTCTTCCTTCTTTTCCACCTTCCTTCTCCCTGACTTTCAGTTCACTGGTAGTTACTTTGCTCACCCCATTTTTATTGACTATCTACTTGCTGAAGCCAAGATCTTCAGGCACTATGACGGATACCAGGTATAAAGAGAGTGAACAGAACCCACAGGGCCCTCCTCTCCTGGTGCTTGCAGTCTATTGAGCGAAGCCCTAAAAACCAATTGACTTCAATTCAGCAATGCTTGGAAGGACACCCTAGGGACTAAGGGAGGGACGCATGTGGGAGACAGAAGGCAGAGATGTGGATAAGCTCTCCCTTCCAAAGGGCATGTATTGGAGCTGAGAGCAGGGGCCTAGCACAGCCCGCCAGGTGAGTGTGCAGGTGGGGTGTAGAGAAGGGTGTGTGTCTGAGGAGTGGAGACAGGATATGTGAAGGCTCCAAGCTAATGCAAGAACAAGGTTTCCATCCTAAGGAGCAAAGAGACATAGAAGGTTCCAGTAAAGTTTATCCTTGCTCCCTCAGCCCCAGTACTGAGAATTGAACCCAGTATCACTTGGGGATCAAGCACATGCTCTACCACAGTGCTACAACCTAGTGCTCTTCCTGCTTCTCATTTTGGGGAGGGTCTCACTAAGTAGCCCAGGCTAGACTTCAACATGTGATTTTTCCCATCTCATCCTCCTGAGCAGTTATGGTGACATGCTTAGGACACCAGGCTTAACTCGATCGTGATTCTTGTGTATGTGTGTGTGCATGTATGGAGGCCACAGGATAACAGCGGGTGTCATTCTGGAGCCTCCATCTACCTTTTTTATAAAGACAAGCTGTCTCACTGGCCTGGAACTTGACAAATAAGCTAGACTTGAAGCCAGAAAACCCTAAGGATCCCCTTGTCTCCACCACCATCGTGCTGTGATTATAGGCATGTATCACAGCTGGGTTTTGAATGTGGGTTCTGGGGATCAAACTCAGGTCCTTGCAAGGCACTTTGCTGACTGAACCATCTCCCAGGCCCTTCACCTTGATCCTGACTGCAGTGGGAAGGCATTGCAGCAGGGTCTTAGCAGATGTGTGTAGTAAAGAGATGTTTTTGGCTGTGTAATGCAGAGGATCCTCCCTTTTGGGTCAGGGCTGAAGCAAGGCCCATAGAGCCATACCAAACAAAGGGCAAGATTTAGAAGGCAAATGTGTCAGGACGTAGGCAGTTGATGGTGAATCCATATAGAATTTCATCTCTCAGTGAGAAATCTCCAGGCTCAGGGAGGCAGCTGCCTCTAACCCCAACTACACAGGGTACATCAAGCCCAGAGCATGGGGCTTTGAAAGCTGCTACTCCTTGAAAAACTCATTTCCCATCATTCCTCATGCAGGACTTACAGAATGCCCACTGTGGGCCCAGCCCTGCAGGGAACTCTGGCACACCGGCTGGGATGAGTTCTAAGTTTGATGTCATTGGATGGAAAATCTAGGGGAAAAACAGAGAAGATGACATGCTTCTAAAAGTTTCCAAAGGACTCTAGGTTGCTGTGGCTATAAAGATATTGAGGACTCTGCTCATCAGATCAGCTGAAACAGAGGGTCAGTTCCTCCTGCTAGAAGTGGTGAACATGTGGAGAGAGATCTAGAAGCTTTACAGCACTGTGTTTTGTCCTTTAGGAGTTTTTAACATGTTCAGTCAGTTTCAAAGTGCAGTGATACTGGACATTCCATCTACAAGATATTAAATAGCAAAGGAGGTTAAATGTCCTCCATAGGCTTGTGTGTTTGAACACTTGTTCCTTGTTGCTACAGTTTAGATGTGAAACATCCTCTATAGACTCATGTATTTGAACTCTTGTTTCTTGTTGCTACAGTTTAGATGTGAAACACCCTCCGTAGGGGCACTTGTTACTCGACTGAGGGTTCTGATTTTGGGAGATTACAGAACCTTTAGAAGTTGGAATCTTGATGGAGGAAGGATATCACTGTGGGGCAGGCTTTGGGGTTTTTTTTTTTTAGCTTGATCGCCCTTCCTGTTCTTTCTCTGTGATTCTTGTGTGTGGATGGAAAGTGATCAGTCTACTTCCTGGCTGTCACGGTCCTGCTTCTCCACCTTCTCCACTGTGATGGACTGTGTGCTCTCTGAAACTGCCAGCCAGAATAAACCCTTTCTCCTCCAAGTTGTCAGGGTGCTCTGTCGTGTGTGTGTGTGTGTGTGTGTGTGTGTGTGTGTGTGTGTGTATCAGAGGTCAACCTCAGGTGTCTCCAATTTGTTTTTTTTTTAAATTATCTATCATCATCATTACTATTCTGTGTATCTGTGTTCATGATGTATGTGTAAGCATGTGAAGGTCAGAGGACAATTTTGTAGGGTTGACTCTCACCGTCCACCTTCTCATGGGTTTCAGGGATGAAACTGGCATTGGTAGACTGTGCTTTCAACTGTGGGGCCATCTTTCTGGCCCTTCACCTTGTGGTTCTGAGGCAGAACCCACCAACTAGGCCAAAGTGGCTTGCCAGTGAGCCACAGAAATCCTGTCTCCATCTCCTCAGCTTTGACATTTCAAATGTGTGTAGTTGAGGCTGGACTTTTGGTCCTCATGGTTGTGGGACAAACATGTTACCCACTGAGCCATCTCCTCAGCCTGATGCAGATATTTTTAAATAGTGAAGGAGTTAGAAGTATTATGCCACTCGGTGGTATACATACTGAAATTTTCAGGCTGTAGCCAGGTGTGCAGAGTATAGGGTGCTCTGTCTTAATTTCTGCCTGCAGGGTATTCTGGAAACCCAAAATAGGTCTCTCTAGGCAGCCAGTTGGTATTCCCACAATGGTTGACAATAACTCGTTTTCTGCCTTGTAGGTACTGTGCAGGCATTTCCTCCTGTGACAGTTGCATGGTGGTCTGTCCTCAGTGTTTCTCAGAAGATGCTCTGGAGATGGGACCTGACCAAGCTTTCGCCCTGCTCTGACCTGTCACTTGTCGTGGGCCTTCAGACTTGCCTCCTAACCAGAGAGAAAGGGCCAATGAGGGCAAAGGCCAGCTTGCCAGAGCTCAGGTAAAGTTCAGAATGAACGTGGAGGTGAGAGAATAACTTTGGGTGCCAATCTTTAGGATCCTTACACCTTGCTTTTTAAGAGGGTCTTCCACTAGCTTGGCTCTCCAGTAAGCCCACCTGTCCCTGCCTTCCCAGCACAAGATTGCAAGTGTGCATCGCCACGCCTGACCTTTTATGTGGGTTCTGGGGATCTGAACCCAGGTCCTCAAGCTTGCACAGCAACCACTTTATTGATGGTGCTGTCTCCCCAGCCCTCAGAGCACTACTTTCCTAAAGAGGTCATGCTTGAGCACTTCTTATCCTCTTCACAGGTTCCAGGAAGTTCACAAAGATGCAAACACTATTGCTCAAATCACTGAGTGAATGCTGTATCTATGACAGTGTGAACAGAGGAGGAAAAGGAAATGTCTGGGACTGTGGATGTAGCTTGGCTAGTAGAGTTGCTGGTTCCATCCCCAGTACCACATAAATATGGCTTGGTGATGCAGGCCAGTATTCCCAGCACTCAGGAGGAAGAGGTATAAAGATCAGAAGTTCAGTGTCATCCTTGGCTACATAAAGAGTATGAAGCTAGCCTGGGCTACATGAGACCCTGTTTCACAACAAATCAAAACAAACAAAAAAAGAAAATGAAATGCGTGCCAAATTTCCAAATATGTACAAATGTGTTTGTGTGCTGATTTCTAAGTCTCTATCAACGACATTCAGGAGACTCATCTTGATCCAGATCTGCTGTTTTTATGGAGAATAATTTTTTTTTTTTTTGGTTTTTTTCGAGACAGGGTTTCTCTGTGTAGCTTTGCGCCTTTTCCTGGAACTCACTTGGTAGAGAATAATTTTTAATAACAATTCCATAACTCTCAGTAAACCTTCCAGTTCAAGTGTTTCTTCTACATTTTTACATGAAGGGGATGTTAATTAGGGGTTCACCTTTGAGAAGACAAATTGGCTGAACACCCATCTATTGTAGAAAAAAGACAAGAGATGGTTGTCTCTGCTTTTCTTCCTCCCTCCCTCCCTCCCTCTGTTCCTTCATCCTTTCTTGTATTCTGAGTCAGGTTTCCTATAGTCCAGGCTGACCTGGAAGTCACTATGTAGCCCTGGATGACCTTGAACTTCTGCTTCTCCTGCCTCCACTCCCCAAATGCTGGCTTTGCAGGCATGCATGCACTACCGTGTAGTGTTGGGGATTGGACCTAGGGCTCTGTGTATGCTAAGTAAGCAGTCTACCAGCTGAGCCACATTCCCAGCCCATGGTTTGTTTCTTGAACTTGAAAATATAAAACGCCTTTTGCCAAGGCCCCTTACCCTCTGACTAAGCACCAGGGATCCCATCTCTTGATACATCTGCTCCTTGATGTGAAATCTCCTTCCTCCCAGGAATAGCTGTGTGAAAATCACAGCTTCCACTGCCATCGTACAATTTCCTATAATAATTTCAGGTAATCAAGGTTACCCCCTGGTTCTACCTCACACAACAAGACAAATGCACAGTCTGGCCTGGAAGCTGGGATTTGTCATTTGCAGACATTTTTGCTCACATTGGCCATGGCAGTCCCCGTCTGGTCTGCCTGTGTGCATGGGTGGAGCATAGGACTCGCTGTCCAGGCACTTTGGCTGATTTGCTTCCCTGAACCATCCCCCATCCATGGTGTCTGTTCAGGGAAGCAGCTTCGTTAAGTGTGCTTCAGACTTACATTGCAGCAAGCAGTCTAAGTCCCAGTGGCTTGAAGACAATGGAGATGATACTGTGTGCTTCTCCAAGTCAACTACTTTCCATGGCCTAGGGAACTTAAGCGATCAAATGGGCAAGACCAATGTAGGTATTTGTACTTGTGTGCCTATGTGTGCACAGGCCTGTGTCTGTGTGTTCATATTCATGTGTTTATGTGTATGTATGTGAACAACCTTGGGCATCATTTCTCAAGTGTTATCCACTTGTGTTGTGAGACAGGGTCTCTCACTGGCCTGAAACTGGCCAAGTAGGCTAGGCTGGCTGGTCAGTGACTTCCAGGGATCCATTTGTCTCTACCTCTCTAATGCTGGGAGAACATGCACACACCACTGCACCTGGCATTTTCACGTAAGTTCTAGGGATCAAACACAGGTCCTAGCTTTTTCTTTGTTTTATTTTTGACTGAGTTGTCTCTGAAGCTCAGTATTTGAAATGTTTTAACTACATTTATTTATTTATTTATTTATTTATTTATTTATTTATTTATTCATTTATTTAGTGCTTGTGTGTGCCCCCGTGGCGCAATGTGCATGTGGAGGTCAAAGGACAACCTGGAGTAGTCAGTTCTCACCTTGCACTGTTTGTGTCTAGGGAGGGGGTTGAAGTCACGTGATCAGGTTTGAAGGCAGGTGTCCGTACCTGCATATCAATCTTGCTGGCCCAACCCTTTCAAGAAATGTCTGTATTTTTATTTTGCATGAGTCCATATGTATCGGGGGGGGGGGGGGGGGCAGAGAGCTCATGTGCCAGGACGCATGTGTGGAGGTCAAAGGACATTTTGCAGGAATTGGTTCTCTCCTTGCAGCTCCCTGAAATCCAACTCCGGCTGGTAGGCTTGGAGGCAGCCATCTTTACTCTGAGTCATTTCTCCTCCGCACACTTCATTTATTTTCTTAACCTTGAATATTTGGACTACAAGAGTGAATCTCAAGAAACTACAGCTTGGGGGAACCTTCCATGAGGAATATCAGGAACTGTTTACCATAGGGCAAGTAGACCTGCTAAGATAATTCAGTACAGTTAGGTACTCAGTTAACATCAGCAAAAAGGAAAGTCAGTTTCCACCATGTGAACCAGTGCATGAGGGAGCTGAGCTTTCTGGGCTGGGACCACAAAGGCAGGCTTCTGTTGTTTGGTACCTTCTGTTTTTTCCTGCTTTGTCAGATGGGCCAATTGAAACCACCCAAAGGCCAAATTTATAAATATCTCTCTGATGGGTCCACGAGTCTCCCACAATGGCCTTATAAGGATGACCTCTGAATAGGATGTCCTGGGGTGAGAGTCAGTCCACGTCGAGGGTGACTTTCCCCTCCTAGGTCTTAACCTTTCATAGCGAGACAGACAACCAGGACAGTAGGAAATGGAAACAAGCTATGTTTAGCCGAATTTTACATACCATAATCTCTTTACCATGGTCAAGCAAGGCAGGAATGCTCAGACTGATCGTTCTGGCTCAAATCCATTCCAGAGGGGAGTGATTTACGACTTAACACCATTCTTGATTTTTTCCTGAGAGTGAAGTTAAATGACCCAAGAATAACATTAGTCTGCACCAGGCTGGGTGAGAATGGCCTTCTAAGGGGTGGTCTCGGGCTGAGCTTTTCACCCACAGTCTCAGACTCCCTCCAAAGTCCCAGCAGGCACCCAGGAGCACTGCTGTTTAAGAAGCTGATGGTGTGGTGAGTTATGAGATCCGAGGGAGTCTGGTCCAGGAGTCTCCACTGTCTCTTCACCCATGAATCTTGACTTAACCCAAGCACCTAAGACCAGGAGTGAGTCCTACCTTCCTTGCTGCTCCAGCCTTGACTTACAGACCCCTCTGCCCTGTGCTTGATCTAGAAAAGATCAAGTGTTAGAAGGTGGGCTGGGCAGGTTGGCTCAGGCAGAGGAACAAAAACCAAGGCAGGGGTGGGAGATTTCAGTGGTTAAAATAATAAATGAATGTAAGGCTGGGGAGACGGTTCAGTTAATGAAGTGCTTGCCCTCACTAGCATGAGGACCTGAGTTCAGATTCCCAGGACACATACACAAACACCCACAAACACACACACAAATCCAGGCATGATGTGCTTACATTTACCAGTGCTGGGAGGCAGAGACAGGAAGATCCCTGGGCCTTGCTATCCAGCTAGTTTATCTGGATGGCTGACTGAGCTCTAACTTCAGTGAGAGTCCCTGCCTCCACCCCACCCCTGCCCAAAAGGTGGAGGAGAATGATAAAGAAGACACCAGCATGGGCCTCTGACCTCCACAGACACACACACTGGTGCACAACATACAAAAACAAAATAAATGGATGTAAAAATGGGCCCCTTAAAATAGCCCAAGATCCCCCAAAACCCATCTAGCAAGGCTTATAAATAGATGAATGAGATGTTGAAACTGCTTTAAGACAGATGTCTTTTTAAACAGTGTTCAGAACACCTTTTGGGGCTCCTAGTTACACAGTTCCTCAAGCAGGAGGTAGTTCATCTTCAGACATCTGCAGTCGTCAGAGAGGTGGCATGGCGGCACAGAGCTCAGCAGATGTGGAAGCCTGTGCATGAAAGTTCACAGGCAGAGCCTGACTGTCCCCCCAGAGCAGTTCACAGGCAGCTCAGGGGAAAGTGATGCCCCTAAGGAGAGGAGGTCTCACGGTGACCTGCCTATGCCCTTCCACCCTTAAGATGGAATGAGCTCTGCTAAGGATTTCTCTCTGCTGAGCAGCTAAAACTGTAACTTCAGCTCTCTGTTCTTCTTTTTTAAGACAGGCTCTCCTGACTGGTCTGGAACTTGCTATGTAGTCCACTCTGGCCTTGCACTCACAGAGATCTGACGGCTTCTGCCTTCAGCACCACACCTGGCTCATTTTCTCAACTTCTAAGAGCGACTGAGAGCTGGGGAAATGGCTCAGTCCGTAAAGTGCTTGCCATGTAAGTGTGAACCTGAGTTCATTCCTAAGAACCTACATTATAAACAAACAAACAAACAAAAACTGAGGAGTGGTGGAGTATGTTTATGATACCAGCATTTGAGGAGGCAGAGATGGGTGGATTCCCTGGGGTTCAATGGCTAAGTCTAGCAAAAACAGTAAGTTCCAGGATAGTGAGAGACCTGTCTCAAAAAACAAGATGGATAGGTCCAGAGAAGGACATTTGCAGTTGACCTCTAGCCTCCAAGTTTGCATACACCAGCATACACACTTGAACATACACACACACACACACACACACACACACACACACACACACACACATTTGATTGATAGGATCTCTCCCCTGTTCCCTTCAGGATAAAATTTCTTTATCTCATCAAAATATAGCCATTGCATGGGCGTGGTTGGGTAAATTTGTACTCAAAGGATCTCTGCACTTACCTGCCTAGAGTCTTCCACCAACTTTGATGGGAGGAAAGCTGGGACAGACGAGAGGGAGACAGTGAAAGATCTTCGTTAACATGAAAGGGGCCAGTATGGCTCCTCTTTGCGTTCCCAGAGTAGGCAAAGACTTATGGTTAAATCAGACTCAGGTGGGGTGCCCTGCACAGCTGGAACCTGGAGGAATCAGCCTCACATTAAAAAGCAAACACTGTTTGCTGGTGTGCAGTTCAGTGGAAGAAAAACTGCTTAGCATGCCCAGGGTTCTGGATCAGATCCCCAATCACCAAACCAACCCACAAGATCTAGTGGTTTCTTTATATATCATTTCTGGGATTTGTTCCTTAAAATGTTTTAAAAAACTGCAGCTCCAGGGAGCTGGTGACATAGGCCAGCAGCTAAGAGGACCCAAGTTCAGTTCCCAGCACCCACACTGGATGGCTCGAAACTGCCTGTAACTTTAGCTCCACATGGTCTGATAACCTCTTTAAGTCTTTGAAGGCACCCTCACTCACTTGTACATACCCACACCCATACACACAGTTAAACATAAAGTATGTTAAATAGACCTAAGAACTGTGGCTCACGGCATCACCTGAACCTTTAATGCAGCTCTCTGCAAGAGTTTCCTGGAAGGAATAAAAGAAGAGAACTCGCTAAGGACGAAGTCAGAACGTCACACAACCTCCGTGTCAATTATGGCAATTAAAACGAATGCTACGGAAGCTAGTGAGACTACTGAGCAGTTTTAATCAGTTACAAACATTTTTGCAATGCTCAGAGTCTTATCCATGTCAAGTGTTTTACCACTGGGCTGTATCCTTAGTCCTGCAGTTGGTGTGTGTCACGTGTGAGTTTGTTCACGTGTGTAGGTGCATGTGAACGTGTGTATATCTGTGTGGGCAGCCGCTTTTTTTTTTTTTTTTTTTTTTTTTTTGAGCTGGAGTATCTCAGGCCTGGAGCTCATCAGGTAGGTTAAGCTGGCTGGCCAGCAGGCCCCAGGGATCCACCTGCCCACCTGCCTCCACCTCCTGTGTGCTGAGATTACAAGCTCCTGGCACTGCCTAGCCCCTTTATGCACAGGCTCTGAGGAGCAGAACTCAAGTCTTCAAGACTACTTGACCAGCACTTCACAGTTAAGTCAGCTTCCCCACCCTTTAATCGGTTTTCTTAGTGTTTGGACCTTCCTTTGGTGGGAACGTTAACACCAGCCGTGGGAATTTGAGTTCTGTGAACAGTTAGTTCTTTGATCAACAGGCTGCATGTGGCAAAAAATAAAAATATAAAAAAATGAAAAAAAAATCTGTCTTCACTGTTGGCTTAGCTCATCCAGAATGGCACTCTGGTCATTAAAGACATCATTGAAATTGATTTCCAGGCCAATAGAGTGGGCCTTCCTGGAATCTGAGCAATGTGTGTTGCCTGGTCCATGTTAGGGCTGAGGCAACCGGCCAGGCATGGCCAAGGGTGCAAAGAGGTGGTGATTAATTTAGGGGTCAAATGTTTAAACATCTGGCGCCTGTATACCGCGCGCGCGCTTGAGTTTATACACCTCTGCTCAGGCAGAAGGAGCAGGGAGCGCCTCCCCCCTCCCCGCTGCCCTCATTTCCAGCTGAGTTGTCTGCACTCTGCCCCTCAGCTTCTCGGAGACACAAGCCCAGGGGAGTGTGTGCACTGCAGCTTGTACCACCCTGTGGTGACTTTATGCTATGACAGAGGCTCCCTCTGCTAGCCTTCCTCGCGTTAAGTGAGTGCCATCCTGCTCTACTGCTAGCTCCCAAGGGCCACATTTTAGCCCCACGTCCCTCTCCAGATATTTTGGAGGAGTTTGATCGATCCCAAGGTGGGCTTCCATGTCTTGAAGGACCCCCAGAATCACCCGTCACTAAGGTCTCTCAAAAGCCTATTTAGCAAGACCAAAACCAGCACAAGACCGAACCAGAACGAGGGGGCTTCAGGGATGGCTCAGTGGGTAAGACCCCAAGCTGTGCAAGTGTGAGGACCTGAGTTCAGATCCCCAGCACGTATGTGAAGAGTTGGGTATGACTATGCATGTGCCTGTAACCTCAGATCTGTGACGGATAGAGACATGGGGATCCCTGGGGCTGGCTGGCTGTCCTAAGTTTTTTGAGATTCTCTGTCACAGGGACATAAGGTGGATATAAAGCAGATCACGCCATAGTTTTCCTTCCCTGGCCCCTGCATTCACACACCCGCATACGTGTAACCCACACATACACACTCCACACAGATACACCACATACATACATACATACATACATACATACATACGCACCCATAAATACATAAGTGAACCCCTCAAAACCCAGAGTGAGCTCTAGACTAAGCCAAGGGCAGCACCCAAAGTTCAATACCCATGAGGGGCTGGTGCTGAGAGAGGCAAGTGGCTAGCCTCTGATGTCCGCAGAAACGTTCCAGCGCTCGCATTTTCTCTCGACCCACAGATCTCCCAAATGTTCTTTTTCCGCAGCGTCCCCCCCCCACCCCCAATTTTATACATAGCAGATGCTGTTCAAACAAGTCAAGGAGCAGAAGCTGCAAAAGGCTTAAAAGAAAAAAAAAAAGACAGTGAAACTCATATATTTCTTCAAACGATAAGATGAACTACAGATGTTGGAAGGCTGGTGATGGTGCCGCCTGTGACTACAGCTTCACTTAAAAGAAGAGTCCGCTTATGTTTAGCGTTGGACAAGCCCGGTAGCTGTCACGGCATGATTTACGGAGGTTGTTTGTGAGATTTTATGTTACTGGGGACCTGGCAATGAAAATCCCATCCCTTCTGCCCGTAGGCATCATCTCCCAGAGTCCGTGGTGGAATCGTGGGGTGAGCTCGGCACTCCACAGGCCAGCCTGTGGCCCTTTGGCTTCCTGTGTTCTGACCAAGGCTTCTCTTCTGTCCTGGACACCTGAACTGACCCCTCCGGGGGGTTCCCGGTCCTGGGAAGTGTCCCATTCTTACCTGACACCTGCAGTCAGATTACTCTCAAATTAAGCTTGACAAAGTCGCTAAAGGAGAAACAGTTGTGTGGCAGAATCCAGCTGCATATAGAAAACAGCTGCTTCCAGGCCTTTTCTTCTCCTTTTTTAAGGAAGAGAAGAATCTCCACAGAGTGTTTAAAATGTGAACATAAGGGTTATCTTAGAAAGGCCAGCAGAGGCCTGTGATCAGCACAGTGTTGGGTAGCCATGGCTCTAGCAAAATCTACTTTTGGGGTGACTTGTTACTCAGTCATAAATGTTTATTACCAAACCAAAGCCAGGGACACAAGACCTTCTCTGAATGTAGATTTGCCTTCCTGACTCTGCCTTCCAAGGCTTTCTTTCTTTTCTACATTGTTTCGTTTACTTATTTGTCCTTAATGTTGTGTGTGTTCACATGTAGGAACAAGCCACCGTGCACACATTTATGTGAGGTCACAGAAAACTTGAAGGAATTGGTTGTTTCCTTCTACAGTGCAGATTCCGGGAATTATACTCAGATCATAAGGCTTGGCAATAAGCAACTCCCCCACCCCAAAGCCGATCTTTCTGCTTTTGATTTTCGAGACAGGGTTTCTTTGTGTGGCTTTGGCTGTCCTGGAACTAGCTCTGTAAACCAGGCTGGCCTCAAACTCACAGAGATCCACCTGCCTCTGCTTCCCAAGTGCTGGGATTAAAGGTGTGTGCCACCCCTGCCCGGCTGCCCAAGGCCAATCTTAAGGAAGCTGAAAGCACTGTATCTTTTGGATATTCATGCTTATTCCCAGATACAACTAATGTGGACAGCTGTGAACTCAGATACTTATGCTTATTAGAACATGTGCGCAGGGCCCTTCCCCCAGGTAGCTGTGGGATGGGTTTGAGCACAGGCAGAGGCAGCAGGAGGAGCCCCAGCCATTTCTGGCCTCTGGAGCTGAAATGTGTGCAGCCTTTGAAGTTACCACAACTCAGGTGCCAGCCTCTCCTAGCAGCCTAAGAGGAGGAAGTCATTCGTTTTCAAGTAAGGGAGGAAATTCCTTGGGATCCGGATGTTTCCATTAAGCAAATCCTTGAAGTTATTTTCTAGAGGATGAGAGGTGGGAGAGGGATGCTGGAGTACAGTAGGAAAGATGGAAGTTAGATAGAAGGCAGCATGTAAGGGCCAACAAGGACCTCAGGAGAAAGCCAGGAAGAGAGTAGGTAGATTTTTAAATCAGTGTTGCTGGGCAGGCTGAGCTAATTCACTGGACAAAAGTGCTTGCTGCACAACTCAAGGACCCAGATTCCATCTTAGAACCTGGAGCCAGTGGCTGGCATCTCGAAGCCCTGCCCCCTACTCAAGGTGAGATGGAATCAGAGATAGCCTGGATACACGGTGCAGAGGCAGAAGTAGAGAGAGACCCTGCCTCAAAACAAAGCAGAAGGAAAAGCTACTCCTGAAAAGTCATCTTTTGACCTCCACACATGATGCATGGCATGTGCTCCTAAACCCCAAAATAAATCAGTGAAATACTCTTTAAAAATTCACGTCTCTGTGTTCAGAGGCAGAAGGATGGGAAATAGGACTTTCCAGGACTTGACCTGCTTTCGTGTTGAACACAGCTACAGCCCTCTACTTTTCACCTTCACCCTGGGTTTGCTGGCAAGGAGCCACAAAAATCCAAGCTGGAATGTTCCCCTGGAATCTCTGTCCTCTTTTCCCCATATTTACACAAAACCCCACTGGGAAGCTCCCACAGTCACATGACTCCTGCTTCAAGGTTTAAAGTTGTGTCGTAGTGCACATTGTGTTTTTGCTTTTATGTCTTCAGTTTCTCACGTATGTTTCAATTTCTGTTTGAGACAGGGTCTCATACAGCCCAGACTGACTTTGAACCCATTATATAGGCGAACTTCTGATGCTCATGCCTTCACTTCTGAAGTGTCAGGATAAGAGGGGTACACCACCGTGCTCGGCTTGTGCAGTGGACAGAAGGCATGGCTTTGTGCATGCTGGGCAAGCACTCCATCATTGGAGCTCTGCCTCTTTTCTCTGGGTGGGAATTCCCTACCACATAAGTGAAAGTGGTGGTTGTGTCGGCGAGACTGCTCTTGTATCTGTAATTGACCAGTCAGGCCATTGCCTCTCTGCTTCCCTCCTCCTGTGCAGATTGGAATTTTTTTCTCTGAGCCTCGGTTTCCTCATTGTCAAAGATCAGGGGATTTTACAGGATGATTGAAATGATCAAATAACACTGGAAACAGTGAACCAGCTCCATGCCTGTTACCTAAGCAGGTATTCAATATCCATGCCTGCTACCCAAGCAAGTACTCAATATCCACGCCTGCTACCCAAGCAGGTACTTAATAAACAGTGAGTTTTCTGCCACCTTCAGGGAAATCCAGGTGAAAGAAAGGACAGACTAAGGTAGGTATATGTGACTAGGTTGGGGTTGCATCATAGCATCCATAACCCATCCTTAAATGGCACACACATAAGGTGATGGTTAGTCTCAATTTTCAGCTTGGCATGATCTAGAATCACCCATGAGCCTCTGGGAACAACAGTAAGAGCTTACCTAGATTAGTCTCCAGGCCTTCCTGGGAGGGGCTCTCTTGATTAGGTTGGTTAAAGTGGGAAGACCCACCCTAAGTCTGCATGGCACTTTCCTGGAGGTAGAGTCCCAGGGAAAAGCTTTTGTTTTTTGCCTTCTTGTCTTCGTCTCTTTCTGGTGAGTGCTGCTGTGGCTGTTGCCATCACCACTGTCCTCCCCCGGCATCAGAACGAAGTTTCTTTGGACTTCTAACCTGGACTGAAGAGCAGTGAGTATCCAAGAATCCTCCATGCCTTTGGTACCAGATTGGGATGGCTGAGGCATGCAGCTTCATGGACTGAGCAACTACTATGCTCTCACTCTCTACAGTGTGAAGACAG